CATTAATATTCACTTCTACTCTATAAATAATCGATGAAAAAATTAGTCAGACAATTATTGTTGGTAGTTATTTCCTTAGTAGCATGTATAGGATTGTAAATCTTAAACAAATGTGTACCAATCATAAAAAGTTTTTTCTTTAATCGAATGGATCTTACGGCTATAAGTTCTTCCTCTAATTCGTCTTAAAGTATTTTCGGAAAATGGTGATCTGAGTTTCTTGGAGGTCTGCCTGAATGCTTGAAGTGAATCTTTTAATTTCTCAAATACGTGGTGTGTACCTAACATTGATACTTCAAATTGCAAGAGAACAATTATTTTTCTGGTCTTTAAAAAATATTTGATCTGATACTTAATTTTCTTCAAGTAAAATTTTATATCAATAGTCTTAAAATTTTAACGCTTATGAAGCGATCATATTAGGCGGTTAGTACATTAACGATTTTATTCTAGTACGAAACATAGAATGTCTATATATTGTATCGTCAAATCAATCATACTTGTTTAATTTAAATGGTTGTAACCAATATATACGTGTCGTGTTGGTAAAACAAATGATTATTCCTATTATAACGGTCTCCTCATTATTGTATTTAAGATTTGTTTCGGACTTTCTCACTAGATAAACTATCTTAGTAAACTGCTTCACATGTGGTATGACTTGCTATGTTTATGACATCAGATGATTTGATCATTTAAGGGTATAAAGAAACGCAATCCTAGGATGCGACATTTAATACATAAGTATATTCATTGATATGTGAAGATTTGAGTGTGCTTGTCCTTGTTCAGACTTGTATCCATATAGATACCGGAATATTTTTTTAATTGTTAAAAGCCATTGAAGTCAAATTGATTGTTTTTAATTTTTTATTCCTAAAATTAAGTTTACCTTCACAATAAAGTTTTTCTTCCTTCATTCAACTAAAATATTGAACCACCCCACCTACCAAGCATATCTTGATATACATAACCTGATATGTTAATTTTGGAATGTTGTGCACTGTGTTGTATGTTGATATTTTAAGTAAGCTTTAAGATGGTAAATAAAAAATTTCCTTAATATATCTCAATAAATAAATAAAAGAAAAATATATGTTGCGAATTAAGTTGAAGTATAATTTGCTTTAATTAGTTCTTAGACGTTTATTAAGAAAAAAGATTATTTTTTGTCGTATAAAAACATAAAATGAAAGTTGAACATAGTTTCTGGTTTTCATCATTACCACTGGCAGTCTTGTATTAATTTCATTCCAATTATGTTTTTATATTTGATCTGTGAGATATACTAGTTTCGCTTTTCATTTTTCCTTTTATGTAGTTTTCAAGACAAGGCTTTTCTCTACAGACTTAAGTCCTAATTATTTAGTGCTAATTTTAGACTGACAAGTCTATTATTCTAATTCTATATTTAATATCAAGTTTTCTACGACATACTGTATCATTAATTTGCTATTACGAGTATAATACTAATTGTTTTAACACAAAAAATGCCTACGGATATTATTTGTAAAATATTATGCTTTAATTGCTTTAAAGTATCATTTTAAAACAATAAACTTAATATTTTAATTAAATTGATTTAATTAATTTTATGTAAATTGATATTCGTGATTTGTATTAATAATTTCATTGAAATAAAGTGATATGAAATCGATACATCAATTTTTTCCGTTGAAAACTAACTTTACATATTCAATTATTTCGTGTATTTTTACTTAATGTCAATTCAAACAAATTAACAAAACAAAGAGTAAATAAATTCCTAGTTTCTATTGGAAACAAAATTCTGAATTGAATCTAAAGACAGAATTGCACTTAATTAGAAATGACTTTGGTATGGCAATCAAGAGATGATTATGTATTTGCTAAGCATAAACAGTCCTTAATCAATGTCTTTGCTTCGTGGGCCTTACTTAAACCTAACATTTGTGTACTGATGTAGAGCACTTCACATGGTCAGTATTGCCAACATTTAAGCTTCATATTGTTTGTGTACCAACTCTGCCGTATGATAAACATAAACACACTCTACAAAAGACACTCAACATATTGCCATTTCATTTGCTGTCGTCTGTGTTGAATGGAAAAGTGAGTATGGAGTCATCTTGCAAATTCATTTTCGCAAATTGAAAATGATTTTGCAAATGGAAAATGGTGTCCACTTCGACTCCAGCTGAACACTCCTCTCGGTTGCGTCGTCCAGCACAACTACTTTCGATACATTGGCATTCTTCGGAAGCAATTCTTTCGTTCGATTGCATATTAAATATGTTCGTGATGTTGTTAATTTGTTTCTGTTAGCATTGCTGAAATCACCCACAATTCAATTGCAATAGATGAACCGAGTGTGCATGCTTTCCTTTCCAAACATGTGTTCATCAGTCAATTTTGCTATGGACACAGTGAATCTGCGTTTATGTGCACACTTTGGTAGCATTTCAGATATTCTAAAAGTTTAAAGTTGAATGCTTTAAGACTTTATATACGAGTATGTATTGAACCGAACAAAAAGGATTATGCGTTTTCGTTTTTATTTATTCCTCATCTTTTTAGTTTGTTATTTTTCCTTAGTTTTCACTATTCATTGGCAATGATTTAGCAAAAAATATACAATTTCATCTCAATCAATATTCATTAATTTTCAAATTGGATAAAAACAATATTTTTTTAGATTGTTTTTTATTTGTTAGTTTTGAATTTGAAAACAAGTTTTTTAGTAAAACGAATAAATCCATAAAAGTGTTTAGAATATCACTCAATAACAGTTTGAAGATAAAAAAGATAATCATAGACTATACCAAATAATTCAATTAATATAAAAAATTTTATTTTATAAAACTGAAAACGTTTTTAATTATAATTTATTTTAATAAAGAATTTGAATAATTTGTATATTTTATTTGAAACAAATTCTTTAAATATCAAAGATATTCATAGACAGTAGACCACCGCATCAGACAATACATAGTCCGAAGTTGTTAACGAGATTATCTGATAGCTTAACCCTACGGTGCACTTAACACACATTTCGGTATAATGTGTCCATTTGAAATTCCAAGGAACTCCGCTGATACTAATTAAAGCTACATGCTTGGGTATAGTTTCCTGCTGGGTGGGGAGTGAGGCCTGTTAGAAAAGCACCCAGTTAGAAAAGTACCTTCAAAACAAATTAAAGTAAATAAATATAATCATTCTACCCATGTATGTTATATTTAAGTTTGTATATACAATAGAATGAGATTCGTCAAAATTGACTTCTTTTATGGTTAAATTAGGAAATCTACGGAGTTCTTTCGTGTATAAGATCCATTATATTACCATATAAACTGAAAAATCATAAAATAATTCAAAACCTTTAATAAAACCTTAGAAGTTATATTACTTAGTTAGTTACTTAGTTGCCCCAAAATTCATGTCCAAACATATTTAATCTACTTAACATACCTCTGAACAGTAATGAAATAGATTCTAAACAATACCTTCTGGATATATTAACTATCGAACATGAACAGTGGAAAAGTATTTTTAATTAGCAATTATTGTAAATATTTGTGGTGAAATTTATGACTTTTTAATTACTTATTGCTATAGAAATATTATAATAATTATCGTGATAATAATAATATTTAGTAAACATAATTTAGTATTCATCTGCGAACTTAAATTACAATAGTATTTTTTTTTTATAATAAATACTGATAAAGTTGTGTAAGGGGACACACTTATATATGTTAGATGCTTTTATTATTTCCAATAGAAAGAACAATATAATATCCTTAAATATCGTAATGATAAGAATAAGTTATTAATGATGTAAGATGAACATTATTCGTTCACGATTCCCGAAACACGTGAATTTTTGCATTCTCATCAGGGTTGCCATCGCCTCAAAGTTGTGAAATTAAGATCGAAATATTTGCAATACTTTGTAATTAAAAACGTTTTTCTACAATCCACATCTGATGGCAAATAAATTAGTTTTGTATAAAAAAACATTTCACAAGACGATAAACAGATTTTTTCTGATCACTATATTATATCAAATAATTTTATATAGAAAAATTTTAATAATTGTTTGCATGATGACAGTTATAATCCCAAATGTTCCAGAAATTTGGAATGTATTTCTAAAGTAATCTGTAATCTTATCCGCTAACAATATCTCAACGACAGTAATCTCAAAAAAAAGTAATGCGAAACTGTGTGGATATTGAGATGAACGATATTTAGAGATACATCCGAGATGTGAAATAATTGCTATTCAATATAGATGCTTCACCCAAGTACCTTACTTTCTATAATAGCTTCCATAATAGCCACTACTTTTGCTTGAAATTGCAAATGTCAAGCATTTTTCATATCTTTCCCGTCGGCTATCTTACGTTTCTTAATAAAATAAATGCCAACAAAAAAGCAGTAAATAAGTGATAAATGTGATAAATTATATACGAAGAGTTCCTTCGTTTCTGAATAAGAAAATTAATTTGAAAATACATCCAGAGAGAATATGGTTGGGATGGGAATCAAGAATATCATCGAAAACTTTTTAAAAAAAATTTGATTTGAAAAAAACAAGATTTCCCAGTCTTATCCAAAAGTGAGTTTTTACTATAAAACTTTTTATATTAAGGTTTTTTTTACATAACTGAAGACTTTCTATTCAAAATTGTCTCCAGCTTAATTAACAACCCGTTTAATATTTTTTCATTCCTTTCCAAAGAAAGAAAGTACAATTTGTTCTTAAAAGTCAATGGATTTTGACAAAAACAGCTTCAAACACAAACTTGTAAAAACTTTATAAAAAAATATTGATAACTAAATAAATAATAGTCAGTAAATACAATTTTTTAATAGTTACGTAGTGAATTTTATTTGCTATGTGCAGATAAATATCTACTCTTCTATACAAATTTTTAATGTTCAAACTAATTCTAAATTTTTTTTTACTTAACTAATCTTTTTTTCACAAATTTTTCTTTCAGAGCAATTCAGTGCAAAATGGAAATTATATTTCTATCTAAGATGTTTCATATAATAGAATCGAGATAAGAATTTTTAAATAATTAAGAAGAGAATAAATACACTGCAAAAATTACAAATAAACCTGATAAAAAGATCACAAAAAATGTGCTCAACTACGCAATTCTGTTTCCTGAATCTGCGTACTTATCTCATATATTTATGCTGCTATTTACTAATTATGGTAGCGGCGGGTAGCCGTGTGGTGAATGGACTAAAATGTTACTGCAATCCGAAAGAATGTGATGTCATACGTTCACTCGACTGTCCAGGCAAAGGCTTGATGATTTGGGATCCATGCAAGTATGTTATAATGTTTATACTTCCTAAGACAGGCCTACGAAATTAACAATCACTGTTTTTAATTTCTAGATGCTGTAGAATTTGTGCTAAAACCTTAGGTGAAACATGCGGTGGTCCTGGCGAATTTTCTGGCCGATGTGAACCACCTCTGCAATGTGTTACGAAATTACCAATAAGCAGTGGCTTAGGTGTTTGCATGAGTAAGTCCGAATATTATATTATTTTTATATTACATGATATTAAAGTTTTAGAATTTATTTTGACACTTTAAATTTCAAGTAATCAATATTAAAATTATTAATTGTTTGAAGTAGTATTATTTACTATATACTCGTATGCTTGACCTTTTAATGTGGTTGCATCTATTATGTATACATACCAGGTTATACATTTGGTAGTTTTAAGGTAAATGTGAATAAAATACGCATAGATTAAGATCTCTATAAAATTTTTATTTCAAAAGGTTAGGTTGAAGTGGCAGTCTTGTATACCCAGAAATCGCACTTGAGCTCAAAATAATGGCGCGTTGTGGAATAGCGTTGGTTCGTACATAGACAAAGTGATCAGTATACGACCAACGCCGGAAAAGGCAACGACTCCCACATTTAGGTGAAGGCAAACCAACCCGACAATTCTATTAATCTGCCTAGGTCCCTAATATTGCAGGATGACAGCTCTGTCAGATCAATCAGAAAAGGGGCCCCAAGATTTTTGATCTTCTCCTAGTTAAAGATGGGCACTGACACATGTGATGGAAAACACTTTCCTCCTCGTCTTCAAAGTCACAACCGCCACAAAGGCTATTATTAGGAATATCTATACTCATAGCATAGCTCCTTATTAAGCAGTGACCCGTCAACACCGATACCGTAGTGCTGAGCAGATTCCATTTTAGTTAGAGTAGCTGACTCGTACGTTTTATGTCCAAATTAGACCAAATCGATCTAAAAATCTGATAATTGGTCTCATTGATCCATTGTTGCTTGGCAGTGTTTAGATATTTTTGTTTAATTGCCAGTTTAGCTTTGACAAGCTCCTCTGCCCTACAGTTGCCCACGATATCGCTATAACCAGGAACCCAGATGAGATGTACTACATAACTCTCATTGATTCCACGCCACTGTTTATTGTCCTTACCGTTGATTTCGGGTATTGCATTTTAATGTAATATTTATTTGCCAAAAATGTTTGCAGTTTGAAAATATAATTTAAAAGTGTATTCCACTGTATTATTTCTTCCATGTTATGTTATATAAAGAAAAATATTGTTTGAAATTTAAAACATATTATATTCGTAAAGAAACATAATTTTCTTTTAAAACAATTTTTTAACTTTGTCCTTGCGGAATACACAAAACTTAAGTTTTTTGTTGATTAAGGAAAAATGTTCATGTCGGCCACTCTCACGAGATAAGAATCTGGTACTCTTGTTTAAACAATCTGTGTTTGTTGAAGTCAATATTGTAGTAAAATCGAAAATTTATGCTTGCGATGATTTTGGTATAATCCAGCTGAACAAATTTCATTGAAAATATGTCAACGCGTAGTGAGAAACTATTAATAAAATATTTTTTATTTTAGTTATGAACCCCTGGGCATACTTTATGCTTATAAGTCTAAACACATAATCTTACTTCGTTTATGAAGTTTCGATTATTACAATACTATTTCAATGTAATTACAAATATTATAAGTAAATTATCATTAATTAGAGTTTAACAATCAAAATAACATTAACTCATTTACAACAAATTAATTATAATAGTTTTATAAATACATGAATGCCTAAAAACCATTTACATTCCTCATTATTAATAATTTGTTTAGCTATAAATTCCAGTTCATCCATTTACTTGGTTTTGTTAACATTACACAGCTTTTATATATTAGAATTTTTAACGCTGTTTCTTTTAAAAATTGAAACAATTGAATATCTGTGTAATCAAGTATGGTAAAAGTTTCTGTTATACAGGGTCTTCTACTAACTACAGTAACTTCTTAAGTTACCTTATTTGTTTTTAACGGTATTTTAATAATAGAATATAAATTTATTAATTAGCGACATATTTTTGTTCATTAATGTTTGTTTAAAATATTATGCCAAAATGTACGTAAGTCGTTCGGTGTTTATAAATTATTTTCATCAGAGAATTTATCCAAAATTAAAGATTCATTAAAAATTATTACAATGTGCAACACCAAAGGAGAACAAGGCCCAGTCTTCTTTTTGTAGCTTTGTTCATAAAAAAATTTTTAATAATTGGAATAAAGAACTCCCAAATGTGATACATCACTTATCCATGTAATCTGGAAAATGCATTCTTTGGTGCAATGTACCAATTAATGATGCTTCAAACTGAACAATCAACAATTATTGACTTTTCTATGTTGTTGTCAATATCTTCTGAATGTCTTTTAGGTGCAATAACAAGTTATATTGTCAAAAGGAATCAATAAATTAACAAAATAAGTTCTCGGTAACTAAATGTTCCCCAAAAAGCATAATGTACTGTCAGTACAGAAACATGAACAGTTCAGATAGAATAGCTCTATCTCTATTTGCGCAAATATCTTGAAATGTTGATAATGCCCTTATAAATGATCTGGCTTTTCCTTGGATGTATTTGCTGATAGATGGTCTCGTAGCATTTAATGTTTATTGGAAACCTCTGTTTAATTAAATGTACTTTCCGATTTTAAATTAGTCCTTTTAATGTAACAAATTTCGACAGTTTTCTATTTAGTGGAATTTTGTCTATATCGTAACATATTATCACCGAGAAATGATTTATAAAGTTTTCTATATTAATAATCAATTTTATATTGAAAGAATGGCAGTGGTGAACAAATTTAAATTAAACAAGTAGAAAAAAAACTGCAATTAAATTCTTTTATAAAAATTATGTATTAATAATGTTGTGATTATGTATATTAATTTGTGTGTACATATGTTTATAATTAATTTTTAATTATCTTTCCTTCCATTGTCATATCACATGCATGATTATTATTATACCATATTTCAAGAACTATAATCCAATGCATTGGTGGTAGATACATTGGAAAGTCATTCGGATTAATAGGATATTTATCTATATAATACTTCTTATTCTAGGAAAAATGAAATCGATTAAACATTATTCATATAAAGAAAAAAATACTCACCGCTAATATAGGACATTTCTGAGGAAAATTACTTTTCTTTCTCATAGCAGTCAGAATGACATTAACGATAGCTACAGGCGTCGAATTCATACTAAAATACTTACAGCCTTCAATTGATAGATTTATAATATTTATTTTAGTATTATCTTTACGTAGCAAATCGAATCTGAAGTTATTGTCGAAAGAGTAGACGTCCTCTAAGAATAAAAACTCGCAAGAAAAATACTGTAGACCCTTTTTATAAGAACTGCAATTGCCATGATGGAAGACGCTGTTATTGAATATTGCAAAGTTAACACTTTTAACATCTATAGTGTAATCCCGCTGTAAAGAAGTATTTATATGCTCTCTAAAACTTTCTTGAAAATAAAACTAGATTAAAATATTTACTTTTGCTTTAGAGGAGGTCAAGCAAAAAGTTATTAAAATTATATACAAAAATATTGTATTCAAAATCATTTTTATGCTTTCAAATGTAAAATTAAAATTTTACTAAATATTTTTAACTCTAGGTAGGCTATTTAATTGTATTTAGGTTTAAGATTTTTAAACATTTAATAAAATAGTTCAATTATTTCTGTATCAAAATAACTTTATTTGTTTTTAACAAAAATTAAACCGAATAGCAATTATAAACTCATTTCGAGCATTTGAAAAAATTAGATAAAATCATTAATATATGCATGACTTTTACATTTAAAAAGCAAACAAATATTTTTTAACAGCTAAATAAGATGTTTTTAGGATTATTAAAAAAAAAATAAGATCAAAATATTTTTAAAGCATTTTAGCTCTGGTCTTGTGGAATGTGTTGCTATATAAAGTCTATGCAGTCATTTGATATCTGTATATACTATTTACATATACTATATATAAAAAATTTATAAAATTTACAGTTTTTGTAAGAACTGCGATATTCTTAACTTATAGGTTCTACTCAATAAGAGATAAAATAACAAAAATTGTAGGAGTGATATGGAAATCAGCTTTCAATTATGGAACTAACTTTGAAAACATTGTTTTCAAAAAAAAATAAATTAAACATACATTACTCTTCTTCTTTCGTTAAGAATTTAACAGTAAATTGCAGATCGTATTATCTGAATATTTCCGATCTGTGTGACCATACCAGATCACACAAACGGTATGATCTGTGTAACAGTCAAAAACTCATTTAGTTTTTAAAATTTTTTAACTTTAACAATACGTATATGTGAAAATATATTCCTCGATTTCTATTAAGCCCATATGGATTTCACCAAACTCAAAGAAACATTCAGTCACCTCATTCATCCCGGCTGTGTCAATATATTTAAGGAAAACCCTTATAAAATATGTTGCTTAAAAATGTTAAAATAATTATTTTTAAAATATGAAGGAGTGTAAAACTTAGGAGTCGCTTATGTATGTATTAAGTATTTTCTGCTTTTGCTGCTTTTTAATTAAAGTTCTCTAAATTTAATTTAATATAATTTACATTTACAACACTCTATGTGTGCATTTAATATAAAAATGCACTCAGTTCCTCATTGTTTGTTATATTTATATAAAGGCATATCTAAAATAATAAACTATTTATATATCATTTGCAAAGTTTTAGTTTCTTTATTTATTCCATTCAGATACATATATACTACGTTTTTTAATATATAAATTTTTTCATTATTTTTTATTCACTTTACCTTCGATGACCAAATCAAATTCATGTTTTTTGTCATACCATCCTTCGAATACTACAATCCAATGCATTGCAGGTACATAGAGTGGAAAATCATCCTCATTGATTCGATATTTATCTATAAGGTACTTCTTGTTCTAGTAAAAAATAAAGAGTGTTGATAATTATTTTAAGTAAATAGCAAAATTAAAGCACTTACCGCCAAAATGGGACATCTCTTTGGAAAATTGCTACTTTTTATCAATCCACTTAAAAGTACTTTCAAAATTGATATGGACGATGTGCTGGTTGTGAGAAACTTACACCATTCAACTGATGCACTTAGTATATTAATTTTGGTATTATCTTTACGCAACA